GGCTTACTCTCCAGCCCAACCGGTTAGTGCTGAACTAGGAACTAATTTTGACTTAAAGCTTTCATGACTGCAGGAATTCAAATTCTTTGGGTCTTTCGGTAAAGTGAAGAAGTCGATAGGTTCAAAGAAAAAAACAAAAAACTAGGACGTTTTGATCGCAACACAAGCGTTCATTGCTTGTGTTGCGATCAAAACGTCCTAGTTTTTTGTTCTTTTCTTTGAACCTATCTACGTGACTTTACCGAAAGACCCAAAGAATAGTAACCAATTGCCACGTTTTGTTTACCTGACAAACCTTAATTGGCTGTGTCAGGTGGTGGTGGTGGCGGGTTGAATGACGTATTTATATTAACGCGATCAAACTCAAAAAAACTCTATTATGGAGAGGATAACACTCGGACAGGAATATGTATAAGCAGCAGGTAGCCAGATTGCTCTGTGAACAGAGCATCAAGCCATCACCACCAAGGTCCTGTGTTCGAATGTGGGTTTTAGCCACCCATCAATAAACCAGGTTCTCAAGTGTAGTAAGATGATAGTCTCATTCCGGTCACAAAATAAATTTCTCATGAAATTTGGTTTTCACCGTAATATGGCTAAATTCCTAACTGCCATTATTGGTAGCATGAAGTTCCAAATGGATAATTTTTCCTGTGAATAAGACACTAATAACACAATTATAACATTATTTTAATTACTCTTTGACATAGTATATATGTTGTTTGTCTCTTAACTGATTATTAAATACGTTATTGTTAGTTGTAATGTTAGGTTAGAAACACTTCGCCTGTGCTCTCCAGTTATCTGGGTGGAAAGTGGGGCTAAGTTTTGCCAAATACTGGCCAGCTGGCTCAAAAACGTAAGGATAAAATACACAGATGTGTAATGACAGTGTGACACCTGCTGGCCTGGAAGGGGAATCACGGGTACAGGCACGGTTAAGTAACAACTAATCAGAGAAGGAGATGTATCTGGGGTAAAGGTAACAGGTGGGGTTAACCGAGATACTCCGGGAACCTGCTGGAAGGTTCCACGAGAGGACGTGGCCAGAGGCGGGGCCTAGCCACGCCTGGGGGGTATAAGGGGGAGCGGACCCGGCGCTCGTGTGTGGGGTCTTGGGTCCTGGCTGCGTCGCTGCTCGCCGACATCTCTCTCCGTCGTCTGGCCACGTGGAAGATCTCCTGCGGGGCTTCCATCGCCGTCATCGTCACGCCGCCAACCAGCGGCGTGGCGGAGTGAGGGCGGTGGGACCACGCCGAGTGATCGGTTTTGTGTAGCCAGTAGGGCCGTTAATACCTCGTATTGTACTCAGTGTGAGGAAGAAGTGTTGGCCTGTCTTGTGCCCAGTTTGAGTAATAAAGAAGTACCCTCTACACGACGTGTCGCGGAAGTCGCTCATTACACATATAAACAATGGGCTACATGTCATTAATTATATTATTATTGTTCATATAATGCTGTCCCATATGCTTTGAGGTTCAATCGATGAAGAGGAGAGTCTTCTCAATCCTCACCACAATACAGATAAGCGCTCGATACACACAAGCACAATGCAATTCCGATTTGTTTGCATGCATCAGAAGCGACGCTAACTGCTGTGGCTCTCCTTCCCCAGGACGGGAAACGATTCTTAAACAGATTGTGTTTTGCACAACTACCAGGAGGGGGGGGGGGGGGTGTTGGCCGCCAAACAAAGCGAGAACTTCCCACGAGATTCCTCTTTGGGACGCAGCGGACGACGACATTCGATTTTCGGTGGAGAACCTCCAGAGGCGCTGGCTCAGCAGCCTGGCGTGGTGATTAGAAATCAAAGCCAGCTGCAAGCTTCTGCAGATTTCTAAAAAAGCCCTCCCCACCCTACCCACCATCCCTGCTGGACGTGCACTTGATTCGGCAGCGTAGAGGCGTTAAAAAAATGTACTGCTTTGTCTGGTAATAGATGACGTGCACCGGTTAGCGCACTGCACTTTGTAGCTGCAAACCCGGGTTTGATCACGGCTCACATCAGCGGTGAGTGATGTGTAAGCCAAACCTCTCCTTCACAAACCTGCATCAACACCGGTATGGTGAAGTATGGCAAACTACGCCCATGCGACAAAGCATTAGGACTTCATCAAGCAGTTGACTAAGAAAGAGCTTTACAATATCATTATATAAAAAAAACTAAAGCTACTTTTATTTTACCAGGTAAGCCCCACCGACCTATCTAGCTCTTTTTCAAAAGCAACCTGGCCACAAATGGTAGCTCAACGAAGTGGCTTATCACCACGTGGGAAATTTATAGGAGCGAAGAAATGCCTCTGGAAAGTCCTACCTTGTCCCTCAAGTGGAGAGAAGTTGGAAATCAGTATAAATCAGCAGCTGAGAAAGTGTACTATATAAAAGCTGCTATAGCAGCGTGCAAACATCTGCACATTCCTCATATGTTCACACGTCTTGTTTATATTGAAATAAAAAAAACATAAACATGGCAGTGTGTACATAAGGGTAGCTATACATACTTTACACCAACATTCCGGTATGTCCAGGAAGTTCCCATTTGGGTTGTATTTTTACTCGAGACGAATTGAGTTTACACAACTCCAATTATTTGTTTAGTAAATTGTTAGGAATCACATGACAAATTAAAAACCAACACGTGATTACTTCACAAGCTTCCAGGCATTCACGCACACCACCTCGTAAATGTGAATAATTCACAAGCGGCCACAGGGACAGAAGTGTACAGTCAGGTTCAGAAGCTACTTTCCACCTTCATTTCACAATGCCAGCGTGTTCCAAATGGCCAGCGTGATTTAGAGCTGACAGAGTTAAAGGAGCTATGGATTAAATCAGAGCCAGACGCACACAGAGGGGAAAGAGAAAAAAAAAATGCACGCACCAACTAGACAAAAGTGGGACTGAAGTTGCACAATTCTTTTTCAAATTGAGTCTCCCACATAGGGTGCGCTAAGACATCCAATTTCCCTGCTGCACAATAGGCACGGACATGGCAAAGGGCTTTATCAAAAGCTTCCAAATGCCGCCCCCCCCAACCACTGACCCCCCCCCCCCCCCACCGCGTGCGGTCAAACCATTCTGCAAGGCGCGAGCTGACTGCTGCTGCGGGGGGGGGGGGGGTTTGGCTACAAGGAAACGCGATACTTTGCGCCTATTCTAAGAACAGCGTTGCCCCGCGCTGTCTGTAGGAGGGTACGAGAGACGGCTGCGAAGAACACTAGGGCAGGAAAAAAGGCACGCGCGGGGGCAGGCGCAACGTGGATAGACAAAAATAATTTACGTGAAAAGTTCAATGAAGCATTCACTACTCGAAGCAATCAATCCACTCAAGTGCAACACGGCGTGGTAAAGAAAATTCGCGCAACATCGATCTTGTTGTAGCATTTAATGTTTTTACTTTTAAACTGCAACGTCAAATGGGAGGTGTGTTATTGCAGTGGGGAAAAACATGACCCGACTAATGCGGACCTCAGTGCATCGTGGGTGCTAGGACAAAGACGATAAACACGGATGTAGACGAGAAATCGGGAACAGAAGCTGATGAGTGTGCCCAGAAGCATGGAGAGGATGCATGCTTGAATTTGTACTGAGCAACAGAAAGAAGACATCAATTTCGGGAACATACCAAAGTAAAAAAAAACATTCGACAAGAAAATTCCACAGGCTTCAGCAAGACATCACTCTAAAGTAAGGCACGGGGTGGTCATTAGCTAAGACTAAAGACAGAGTGGCAGCAAAAGGAGCGAACGCGTCCGAGAGTTCATCCATGACAGAGGTGGTGGAGCTTTGAAATCAGCTCAGGTGGGGGTAAATTGTTACACTGCTTGCCAACTGCAATTGCCCCAACAGTCTGTTAAGGAGTCTATCAAGGCTATAAGGGGGTTCTTTGTCTCTGCGAGATTGCATGACCCATGACTTGGACGGGCCTTCTTCATCCAACAGTGGATCGATCATGGATGACAATGACGACCCACGTTACAGTAGAATTCGCATTGCGTTATGGTTACTCGTACGAGATGGTCACGCGAGTCCGAGAGTCAGAACGAAGGAAACGCACGACACTGAACAACACTCGCTATGGAGGAAGGTCACCAGTCCTATTTATTTAACTTAAAAATGTCGCTGCAGAATTCGCCTTGGTGGGGATCATGAGAAGCATCTGTGAGCCGAAGGGAAATGGAAAGAGGGAGACGAGGGGCTCCTGTTCCAATCCCCTCCTTCTCTACGACTCCCTCTGCCCCCACACCCACACATCCACTTGTCCTCCTGTTTCCCCTTCTTTAGCGAAACGGTATGCGGGATTTGAGACGACGTCACAAGCGATGGAAGCAAACGGATTGTCGACGCGGTACGGCGAGCAGCGATAAAACACGCGGCTTCGGCGCTACCGTTGGAAGCCGAAGAAATCCAAAAAAGTTTCGTGAGAAATTGACACACCTTGGCTTTGTGTGCAGAGCCTCATGAGGGCCCGACTTCCCACCTTCAGAGCAATGCAAAAGCTCCAAAAGGTAAGAAGTTCAAATGAATTTTTAAAAAGGGCTATGTGCACGGCCGCAGATTTCCAACCCCCTCTTAATCGCGAACCTACTCTCGAGGGAGAATGCGCGATCGGAAGGAGCCCATTACTTGGACAGGAAGCCACTCTGCGAGAAGCACAAAATAGGTTGGGCAAAATGCAGAGCGCAAGGGAGTGTTTGGGCACTGCAGCCAAAGTGAATGGGGAAAGAAAAAAAACAGAACACTGTCTGGCAATTCAACCCTTCCATAGCCTAATCGGTCCACGTGAAGTGACCCGTTAAGTGAACAGGGGACTCAAACTTTACCCACAGGATGAGCCTGCCTAGAAAGAAAGTTAACAAACACATTAGCACTGCTTCCTGGAGAAACGTTTGACATTCATTATTTCATTAATGGGCAAATGAATGAACGGATGGCAAAACAGACGAAAGACAACAATGCCGAGTCACAAGCATGGGCACACGCGGCTGGGCAGGACTCACCTCCGTGACATCCATGACCTTGATGGCTGCCAGCTGTCCCGTCTTCACATGACGCCCCTGGGAACGGGCAGAAGAGCAGCACAAGATTAGACGATCACTCAAATCTCATGCAGTCAGAAACCTCTGAATAAAACATTTAATTATTTACATTTTTGGCCTGCCACACTGGACTACTCTTAACAATACTCAAATCGTTGGCACAAGACATCTTTACTCACCGCAAGCGCCGAGGATTAACGAGAGCACGATATCACGCACTGGCAGGATAGAGGCGTCTTTACCATTAAACGTCACCAGCAAAACTCACATTGACTTGCTGCGCACCTGGGCACCTCGATTAACGATGCACAATACCGCGTTCGAGCAAAGGGTGTCCGCTGCTTTACCTCGGGAGGGATTGCCCGTGCTTCGTAACAAAAACAGCGGCACTTGCACAATTTATACAACCCCAAAGGCAGATGGAATGTTGGGAATTGACACCAAAAGCAAACGGGCAGCAACTGCTTAAATAAATAAATGTGTTCTCGTGGTACCTGGCTTATGTTAACGTGTGCCCGTAAAGATTCAAGCAAACGGCTGTTTAGAGTCAAGGGACAGCCATGGATTGGCTTTGTGACCCCTCCGTGGACCCCTGGGGATAAGTCACGAGGGTGTCACGTGCTGGAGGCGACCCCCGCAGCATCAGATGTCGCCGCACTACTCGGCCAAGAGGCACGGGGGTGTCAAGCGCTCGTTCGGATGCCACGCTGCCGCCCCCCACGCCGGGGCAGTCTTCACCGCGCGCCGCAAAGTCGCACAAACTCGATTATCTCTTTGAGTGTCGTCCGTGAAAGGTTTTAATAACGAGGAAGCGTCGCGTGCCTCCGGTGCACATCGCCGTAACGACCTAGACTGCCGCCCCCCCTCACATTTGAATTCGGCCATTTGTGCAAATGTCTGCAGCTGAACGTCGCATGCGGTTGTTCCTCGACTCAATTTAAAAAATGCATGCCCCACTCTATCCCCCCCCCCACGCAAAAAACCAGAGCGAAATTCAAGACACGTCAATTTCACTTTGCCAACGTGCGGTTATTCATGTTAGCGATGGCGCGCTACGCGTTACCTTTTTTGTTCAAGAACACGTTCGTTTAAGCAGACGACGTTGCTCGTTAAACAGATTAATTCGTTCATTTCGTGTCCATCATACCAACTTAGTCAGATTACTGACGACCATGTGGGCACGGGCCCCCATGCGCACGGTCAGTAATGGTGCTTAAATCATCTGCTGTGCATGGCTCCTCGATTAAAGAGATAATAATAAAAACAATTACCATCAGTGCTGTTGCAAAAATGTGTGGAAAGATGTTAAAACAAACAATTTGCCCTGCTGGAGTGGGGGGGACAGAACTCTTCTTTAGGCAACAGTGCAAACTCAACAAGTGACTTCTATCACAGCATCCTCTCCTGATTTACGTGGGCCCAATTTTGTACGCTGATCTGTCTCGCTCCCTAGGGACGGGGGGGGGGGGGGGTTAGGAAGTGGCTGTCTGCCCAGCCTGTGAAATGTTTTGGCGGTGATCCGTAAAAGCCCCCAAAAAATATCTCTTTTTCGCGTTCCCAGTATTAAGTGACACATCGCTGCTTTGCAACTTGATGCTTCTGTTCATCGTTTGGATTTGTCATGCGATCAAGGCGAAGAGCAAAGGTGCATGTCAGCAAATCCCAGCGGTAGACAAAACTGCCACACGTCACAATGAACGAGACATTTTCTTCAAACATCCTCATCCATTGTCCACCACCAACAACCACACAAAATTGTATAATTTAAAATATATTATATTTGGCTGGGAATCAAACTGAGGTCGCCAGGCTCAAAGCACAGTGCAGCTAACCAATTGCGTCTGCATTCCACACGACGGTTAAATTGTACACGACCAATTGAAATCGAGATGTACAAATGCCACGTGGCTTAAGGGCAATGAGGGCCCAAGCTAACGTATTCAGCCAGACACACCAAACAGAAAGCGGAGTACTGCAGTGAGTGTGACCATTTCATTGAGCCAGGGTCAATCCACTGCTGGATGAAGGCATCCTCCCCCCCCAAGCCATCGCAATCTCTCACGATCGTAATAATCCACCGGGCAGCTGCATACGCGAGCCCATTCCGCTGCTCCGCCTGCCCGGTGGATGACCTCGCAGGCGAGTTTTCCGTCCATGAAGTATATCTCAGCTGCTTACAATTGGCCGCAAATATTTATCAACTGCTAAAATAAACACTTGTGTAAATCCCAAATGCAAAACAAAAAACACAATAAAACAGGATATACAAGCATGATGTGGGTATGTTATTATTAATTGCTAAAAAGCACGTGCAAAAACATCCAAGGACACTGCCGAGGATATTAACGTGCATCCAAAAATAGACCCAAATCTGTCGCACTTCTCAAAACCTTGCCCCGCACTCCCAAGTGCCCAAATTTAACTCTGGCGGCTTCATCTTTTATGTACGCTGCCAAAGTGAGTGCAGAGCCATTAGGCTACTTCGTTACCACCCCCACCACTGCCACCCGCAGTTCCTTTTACCCAGCATTCCCTGCTAAGGAGAGGTCGATGCGGGGTCACAGCCGCCACGATCCTGCGTCTTCCCGGCACTCAGACCCGACAAAGCACAAACAAAGATCCACCCCTCCTGTAGCCTTGACAGGCTGTTAGCGAGCACCTATGAAGTTTGGCACAATGCATGACGAGGGGGAGGTGTAGCGTGGACCACATTCTACTGCGTTCGTCCCCCCAGTGCGTGCGTTTACATTCCACGCACAGGTAATAGTTTCAAAGCAGAGTCGACCCACTGGAGGCCCAAGACCAGTTTTGATAATCACCACTGATACGCTTAAGCCTTGGCCTACAAGCGAAAGTCGGGGCGCTGTGTTCGAAGAGCAGTGCGCCAACCACTGTACCACCACTCCATCCATACCCACGTGTCTAGGACCCAATTCTCCTTCACAAGCACGACTTTGTCACATTTCAGAAGCTACGCAGGATGTGGGCCTGGATAGTGCTTGGACTGCCTCACATCAGACATTGCATATTTGGGCTGCGATTTGGCCAGAAGGCGGCACAGCAATTGGGCGTCGCCTCCTTGGTGCGCAGCGAGTTCTCTCTGGGGGCTGCAGTTTCCTTGCACGCCAAACATCACACGTAGCAGGACCCTCCCCCCCACATCAAAAGATTAAACAGGAAATGCAAAATGCTCCGCTTTTCGAACGTAAAACTTAAGGTAAAACCTATTCGTTAGCCTTCATAACAACTTCTACTCTCATTTCTTTATACATCCATTCACGCTCCCTCCGATCTCAAGATTCCCTTTTCCTCACTCTGCTACTTCACCTCCTTGCGCCCAGCCTCGCTTTCAATTCTTTCTCTCTTCTTGCCCCGTTGCACTGGGACAAACTCCCTCTCCACATTAGACTCTCCCCCTCAGGTCCTTGGTCTTCTCTATTGCTTTTTCTCTTCCACTGCCTTCCCCTCTAACGGTTCCTTCCTCCGCCTCTAACCCACTCCCAGTCCCCCGGTCCTCTTCCTCCTACGACCCTAATTCCTGACCCGGCTCCCACGTCGCTCCCCCAGACCTCCGCTGTGCTCCTCAATCAGCTCAACTATCCAGCCACCAGACCGCTGCCCCTACCACCCTTCACCTACCCTCATCCATGCCCAGTCATAGCACTCTATATCTATCTTACCACTCTACGTGCATGCCCCACACCCCGCTGCCTCTCATCCACGTCGCACCCATCTGTCACCCTCATTCACCATCACACTCCACCTTATTCCTCCTTCCCTACCCCTGCAACATCACGTGGCTCCATTCCCAGGCCCTGGCCCTCCATCCCTTCTGTCACCTCTCTCGCTGACAGCTGCTTCACCCCACCTGTGCTCCCCTTTTGCCCCTTGGGTACCGCCGCCAGCTTGTGTTGTAAAGTGCCATAGAAAGAGCGGCAGAAAAATCCTAAATAATTGAATACAACTTGTAAACTGGATTTTTTTGTCCAGGGATTTGTTTGATATTCAATGTCTACTAAAATAAACGGCGGCTATTAAATATAAACGGCGATTAACACTCTGCTCAGCAAAAGGGGCTGAAAAGTCACCCTGCTGCATACTTCTGTGATTAGGCAGTGTTAATAATTAATGTGACAAAAAGTTGCCTTTGTTGTGATCATTGTTGAACCTTCAAGCTGGGAACAATATTTACATGAAATAACCCTGTTGCCAGATTCAGCAGATGCTGCTGAATGGGTAACCATGGTGATTATTTAACCAGATCAGAGGATGCTGGACAAAGTTAATTGGTTTTTGATATTTTACAATTTTCAAGTCTTTGCAGCAAGTCTTCAACCCCCAGGTTATTTGTGTACCAGGCTAAATTTGCCATTTGCGCGCGTGCCAATCACATTTAGCACCACTGCAGTCACCGGAGCTAACTACGAGCAACTTTCCTCATGATCACCTTTGCTCACATGCAAGCTTAATGAAAACATTGTAACAGGATTAGTAGTCACAACCTCTCAACCTCTGAATCATCTCCCAAACTGTCGCCATCCACTCTCACCGTCTTGTGATGCGACAATCCATCTAGCACCTGCACATGAGCCGATTTTATTAATTGTTCCATCTCCAGAGTAGAAGTCCTATCAGGCAAGTCCCCTCCATTGGATGTCACTTCTTGTCAGCGTCTATGCTTTTAAATAAGGCTTAGTACCTTTCTGAGATGTTAACTCCCTCGCCTAATAGACAGGAGGTCGTGGGTTCAATCTCGAACCTGATGCCCGTAAATTTGGCGTTTTCATGTTCTCCCCGTGGTTCGAGTGCATTTTTCTCCAGGTCCTCCGGATTTCCCCTCCATATTTAGAAACATGCGTTTAGCGTATTTGGCTGCTATAAATCTCCACGTGAAAAGCCACTTCGTTGAGCTATCACTTGTGACGGCCAGGTCGCTTCTGAAAAAAGAGCTACACAGCTCAGTGGGCCTTACCTGGTCAAATTAAAATATAGTTTATATAAAACTTTAGCAATTCCCA